CATATATATGTATATATATAAATAACTATATATGTATATATATATATATATATATATATATCATACACACATTTACATACTATCGCATTTAATGTTTGTATGTGTATATGCTACATCGCCAACGCAGTGGAGTAGCAACGGAATTACATTTCCCCTCAGCCATTGCTCATTCTAAAAAAATTACTAGGTTTGTATGTCGATAATTTTAATAGGAATGTGGAAGTTCGAGTGTCCAAATGTTTGAGATTTTGAGCGTCACATAATACCCAGTATTTAGAGTTGATGGTACATAGCATGAATTGTATCAGAATTACCTCGGGTACAAAGATACGCAAGGGAACGTGTATAAGCTATCACGCGGGCATTCATATAGGTATCCAGACTTACCAGAGCCCGGATATTGTGGATATATTATGAGTTGTGACCTATTCATTACAGTACGTATTCCTTTTGAATATTTTAACATTAGACTTGTCGGTGACATATAACTCCTCTCGATCGATTTAGCATCAACTAAATATATTAATTAAAAATGTATATGCGTATTATTTCAGACAACTTAACACAAGCACATTGTGGCAAATTTTAATTGACTTGTACCGCATTATTGAATAGCCATGCACAGGATTGTATTGGATTTCAACTCAATTTACCGAGCCTGTGTTCGTGGATAGTCAGCTCCAGCTAATTGTCACACTTGTCAGCGTTCGTACTATCCAACCGACTGGTTCATTGCTTATGCACCAGAATCGATTACACAATAACTCACATATATCACTTAGGTGCTTGTACTTTATTGAATATAGCATACCGTATATCATATTGTTGTGTTGCTTACTGTACGGGCAAAAAATTATACCCGACACGACAATCAGCAACCAAGCATAAGCTTCATATTACAATCAAGCATAAGCCATGAATACCTAAACTAAAAGACCTAGAATAAAGCCCTGATATATGTGTTTTTGATGCCTCCAAATCCCTATAGGTGACAGCATCACCTTCTTGGATGGCTACTTGACAGTCATGCGTCGTGCTATAGCGGCGAGTGAGCACACCAAAGACCGCAATATCACACTAGTCAACAGAGGTTACAACGGCGCTACTATCCAGGACCTCATCAGAGGCGGTGACGCGTACGGTGTAATAAGTCTGCCTTATGTGGCCGGCCTTAAGATCGACAAACCGACTGTTGTGGTGATATTTGTTGGAGTCAATGACGTCTCGCTGAGCGGAGGTATGCGTATGCAAATAGATGTAAGGAATTGAAGTAGTACGATCCTTTCCGAGACTTTGATCTACTTAAATGCTAGTCACACAGAGAAATACGATGGACATGCCCTTAGTCTAAAGCAAAGCTCACCCGCAGTTTTATTTTTATTTTCTAAACAATCTGCGATGCACATGCTCGCTTTAAGTACGTAATTTTTTCCTTCCGAACGTTTGACATGGTTTACATTAACGCTGCAGACTACGCTGAGGGCCACAATTGTTCTGATGTCAATCAGTACCAGCAACTACTTCATGGCATGGTCGACACAGCGCGAGAGCTCACGGACGCATCGGTAGTCTTGTCAACTGTCTCCGTGTACGGCGAAAAGCCCATGTACGAGAATTACCACGACAAAAACATGAATGAGTTCTCAAAGTAAGTAGCGCGTAAAGCATATGGCTACATTTGTGAAGTAATCTTGATTTGCGTATCTGCTATGTCGGCTTAATTTTCATGTGCCATGTCTGGCCGGCAATCTAGTTCCGTAAATCTGATGATGGAATGTGTGACTGATGCGTGTTAAGAGGTATGAGAGCCCTAAATTGATACGAATAGCACAATTTAACCTCATCGTTGTTAAATTTGTCTCTGTTTCTCCACCCCAATGGGTAATATCTTGGATCTGTATACCATCTAGATCGCAAGGCTAACATATAGTTAGGCAAGGGCTAACATATAGTGCAAGGCTAACATATAGTTAGACTAATTTTACTCACCGAATTTCTCCATCTACCGGTCGGTATCTAGGGCTGTATACATGACCAGTATCGAGCAACAAACAGGGTTCGCAGACTTAAGGGGAGCGTACTTCCGGTACTATAAACAGTATAACTCAAAACATCCCGTAGAGGCTGGTGTTTTGACTCGATCGGATTCGGTACACCCATCACCCCAGGGACAAGTGCTGATTGCCAACGAGATGGCAAAGGCCATATGTGATGCGTTAACGTATAGAGACAAGTGATTACTGTATATTGTAGTCGCATAGAGCATATACTTCATTCCAATTTTTGTGTTCTACTTCAATGGATATCAAGGCATAGCTATATGCAGCTATATCTGGCGGCCTGCTGCTAGGAATTCACAATTGCATCGGTAACGTATTTACAATGTACGCATTAGATACCACGCGCTGGTAATTCTCGATAGAAAGCTGTGCCCGAGTACTCCAAATATCACGGCTTAACAAACACAATGTGAGATTTAGTTCCAATTCAACACTCCACCGCTTGTCATATTTACGGGAGCTGTGTGAGAGACTCGCATCCCGTGTATTTTTGGCATCGGAATTGTATTTTAATCCCGATGTTTTATGCACGTGCGCTCGATGAAGCAGTCATCTGAAATTGGGATCAACTCAGATTTTGAAGACGTATGGTTCCCGACAATTTAACCCCACATACATGGGAGACGCGCACCAGTGGGCGAACTCGGCCCAGTATGACGAAGCGAATCTCATGGACGTCTTTCCGGAGATAACGATTTTTTGAAGGGTTAAGGAATAGGTTTGTAGCCACTCGTGATACGAGCAAAGTACAGCTTTCTAAAGATAGACTTCCTCACGGTACTCGAAAATCAAAGGACATTGTAGCGTACCATAAAGATCAGCACGATTGCATTTTGCCTGAGGAGCGGAATCGCAGTAATTGAGTCATAAAGTACATGCTTGAGCCAAGAGATCAACGCAGTGCTGACCGTGGAGAAACAAAAAAACCTTGCGACCTATAAGGTAGACGTGTTGACCAACGCGCAGCAATTGTAGTTGTACAACATTATAATATACATACATACATATATATATATACACGGAA